GTTACAACTGTTGAGATGTGTTTGGAGAAGGGGAAAAAAAAAAGAGACAGTACATGGACACCTGAAGAAGGTTGAATTGTTTGCTGGCTGAGAGGTTTGCTGGCATTTCTAACAGACATAGATATTTGAAATAAACTTCTTGGCGGGCAACAGAATTCCGTAAAAAAAAAAAAAAACCACACACCCTGCACACCACCACACACAAAAAAAAGCCCACAAAACCGTATCTACAAACAAACAACTCAGCTCAATCAATTTTGACTGTTTCCCAGATTCAATTATTGCTTTCTTATCTTTCTAAGTCACCTTTTTTATCTTTCATGGGCTAGTATAACTTATCTTCTGCTAGTCTGTTTTACTCTTCAGCCACTTTCACACAAATTATCTGTTCTGGTCCCTTCTCATCTTGCTGATAGGGTTTTCCATAGCATTTCCACATTTGAAATCATCTCTTCATCCTATTATTTCTCATAGACTTTCAATCTGCAAATCAAAAATACATCCCCATCCACAAAATATAGCCCTATCTATAGGACATAAAGCTGTACGTAATGCCAGTAAGTCCACAGAAGCGAGGCACGTGCATTCTTTTATGTTAGATCCTACTCGACGGTACTTTCCTTCCCACTTACATGTAGCTAGAAGGTCATGCACCAAAAGGATCCATCTTGTTATTTGTTTGTAGAGTATTTCTATACTTGCTGCAGCTACATTTTAAGCCAACAACGTTAAATACTGTGACCAAATACACAATATTCTGATCTGTATACCCAGATATCCTGGTTCATCTGAGCATATGCCAGGATATTGCTGTTTTGTATCTTGTCCTGCAAGTACATATAAAGGACTCTGGTATCCAAGTACCTACACTTGACTTTTGCCTTCAGCAACACTACATAACAAATTCCTTTGGTGAAGTTATCTTACACTGCTGAAGTATGAATAAGTTTGCATAAAACCTACCATGAATTTCCTCCCATCTTAGTAAGTTTATCTCACCTTCTTTGTTTTTCGATGCTGCAATCCTCTCTCTAAGTGTCGAATATCCAGATATTCTGGATTTTGGGTGTTGAGGTCAGTGACAATATCTGCCCACCTACAGAATAAGATTGTTACAACTCAGTTGACATTTATGAAACCTCAGCACCACTAAGACTCATGTACACACGCAATCAAATACAAATCTGCAGCTTTAAATAGTCTTAGCAGTGATTTAAAGATAAATAAACATGTAAAGATAGAAAAGCCTCAGTATTAGAGACACCAAGCTAGACATAAAAGTGTCACTTTTAATGAAAGCATTCACAATGATTATTTCTGCTCTTGGAAAACGCCTTCCAAAATGACTAAGAGCACCATGAGTCATTAGTTGCGTTGTTTACCCTTACCAATTCATCAGTCTGTGAAAGGAAGAAGCAAAGTGCAGTTTAGGCAAGGGGAAACACTAGTTTTCACTTTATTTAATCCTCTTACTCTTTATCAAACCCTTATTTGGGTTTTTTGCCTGTTTTTACCAGACAGTTCTCACTATAACTCACTTCTCCATTTTAATTCCCATCTGTAATAAACTACCAATTCAATCATTCCCCATTCACTGAGCTCTTCAGAGTTTCATAGCTCCTTCTAGCTCAACTGAAACAAATATCCCCATATTCCAGACCTCTTTAAGCCTACACATCACCTTTTCATTTCTGTCAATGTCTAATTACCTGCTTCTCTCTAACACCACCCTCCAAGTTCAGAAAATCCATTTCTATCCCAAACTTTGCCCTCCTACCTTAAGCACAGAACTTTCTGCTAGCTCTCATTGGGATGGTAGCAGGAGGAAGAATGTTTCCACAATCAAAAATATTAGTACAGAGGTTTGTGTTCTATATTGAGAAACCTTTGCCTGTGCCATTCGTAGCTTATATACCACAGGACAGAATCTTGTCAGTGGGATGTATAGTACATCATTTCTCAGCATAGTAACCACATGCATAATGTGATTTTTATTTTGTTGCGCTTAATCTCTTTAGTCCAAAATATCCAGCTATTTACAAGTTACTGACATGGTCACATCACTGACAAAGCAAAAAAGGTATCTGGATTTTAGCTACTAGGTTAGATCTGACTGGCTATGAAACTGTTAGATAAACCCTTTGAAACAATTTTTTTTTTAATAATTAGAGAATAAAGAAGAATACTAGAGAAGTACAGAAGTTGTAGAGTTTTTGGTTGGGTTTTTTTGCTTGTTTCGTTTTTGTTTTTTTTTTCCTCCAGCTCTTTTTCTAATGTACCAAGAAAAATCACTCCATAATTAACTCAGGGGTGGCAGTAAAGATATTTGCTAAAACTTAAGTTTTGGCTTTCAGCAGCCCACATGTGTCCTGACGCATGATATAAAGCTGAAGAGCCGGCCTTAAGGTCAAAATATGAAGTTTCTCACTAAAGTGCCTGTTTCTGTTAGAATTATAGTATAGTCATTCAAAAGAACTAAAAAGTCACTTGGTGACTCTTAGTAGAAAAAGACAAAGTATTTTGAAAGAAAACATTTTGTTTTATATTCTTACCAAGCAACATACCTTTTACAGTGTATTGTTGGATGTTTTCTGCTGGGCTCTCCAATTAAGATCCAATATTCTACTTCTTGCTGCAAGACACGACCTCTGTTCAATAGAAGATACAATCCTAGTAAGATTTATTGTGCATACTAAAAAGAAAGAGAGAGATTAACATTCTATTGCTCTTTTTAGGATTTTCTAAATTTAAAATTGTTTCCTCAGTCAAACTAAAAAACAGGTCCTCTGCTGTAAATATTATTTGCAATTGCATACAGCGAAACTTTTTATTTCACAAGGCCTGGAAACAAGATAGAAGCTATTCCTTATAAAAAGACAGATCTTCACAAAAAATAGTGTTAATTGGATAAAAGGCAGTCTAGTATAAGATTCAAATATAAATATATATGTAACAATGAAAATAAGAGTTGTGGAAAGCCACACGAGGGTGGAACAAACATCTTCCTTCCTATCTGTGATGTCTAACAGAGTCAAGAAGGAGCCCCTTCCACTATTTTTAAGCTATACCCCCCAGCTGACAGCTGTTACCAACAGCTGTAGGGTAACCTGTATGAAAACAACTGGTAACTTCAGCTGCTTCCTCCTAAGCATCCAATACCACATATTAAAAATCAAAACCCTCAACCGACAGTTGTTCAAGTTTGTGAGCAACTTCCAAGAAACTCAAAGCCTGCAGTAACCTTGAAAAGGAAAATCTGGGACAGACATCAAGGCAGACTGATGACATACAGAGGATTGTTCTGTGACTTCCTGTGTGTAATTATCTGGGGAAAAACTACTTCAGTTTCAACTGTGACAGAACCTGAGATTTTTCTACCTAGAGTATTAGACAGTATATGGCCTTACCGCTTGCAATAATGTCTTTACTTATAAAAAATTTCCTGTAAAATAATAACGTATACCATCATTTTACAGATGGGAAACCAAGACACAGGATAGATTAATTGACTTACCTAAGGTCACACTGGAAGTCTGTGGTTGAACTGGGAACTGAACCCAGGTCTCCCGAGTCCAAATCCAGCAACCTAAGATCATACAGGAAGTCTGTGGGTGACCTAAGAACTGTCTCCTAAGCTCAGCCTAGCAACCTATCTACCTATCTGTTTTGTAAACGTTTGTTTCTTAGATTAATGATTTTTAAAAAAAAAAGCTTTCCTGTGTAACTAGAATGCAAAAACAGGTAGACAAGAACTGCTGCCGAATCTATTGATAATGCTTCTGGAACCTAAACATATTTTTTCCCAGTAAGATATTAGAAGATATGAAGAGAACAGGATGCTCTTCTGGTCTGACCTCCAGCCCAAAATAAGGCTATAAAAGCTCCTTGAACTCATTAGTTCATGTTAAATTGTTAGAAGAGATCTGTTGTTAAGAAGAAAAATCTAGTATTTACTTAAAAATAACATCCCTAGTGACTGAGAAGCCATTTCAACCACAAGTGAAGTACTGAAATTGTCATTCTTGCTCATTACTAAACAATATAAATTCAAACCAGATATAAAGCATGTTAAGTTTCCACACATTGGACCATATTATTTCTCAAATTGCATTTTGATCTAGTAACGTGTTGTTGGTTTTTTTACTTTGCTCTTCCAGTGCCAATTCTTAGTAACTAATCAAGTATATAAGCCATTAATCTGTGGTAACCCTACCCTAATCTGTGGTAGATTCCCTGTTGGAATTCTATTTGGGGTGTATTTTCCACACTCTTCTCACTCACATGGCATGTCAGTGAATGCACTCTCAATAAAAAACTTCTGTATTCTTTTGTTCATATACTAAAAGCTTTCATTCACCCTGTGGTCAGACTCACATCGAGAACAAATTAGATTCAGATGATTATACTTTATTACCTCCAAACAGTTACCATTTTGAACTCTAAAAGTAGAGATAGCATTCTCCATTCCTTGACGTGACTCCACATCTTCAACTCAGCCAAAAGGTAGACTGCTTGGGAAGCAAAGTGCAGGACTGAGTCTCACCTTACACCAGTGACCTACTCCTTTCAAAACTGTCTAGCATTCTCAGCTATTGGTATCTGCTAATTTTGCCAGGGATTGTCTTCTTATGCTCAATGATAATACTAACAAATATTGACCAACAGTTGAACTTTTGAGAAAGTCCAACAGAAACCTCCAATACATACCTGTGTTTGCAACTACTTTGAGAGAGGAAAAAGTTTGGTTTAATATGATTCTGTGAATGAGCTAAAACAAACTACTCTCAGCATATCATACAGCAGCAAGTTAAATGCCTTACAAAAATAAGATGAATTGCCTCGAGATTATGAAATTTTTCAAGATTAAAATTTGTGAGTTGAATATGAGTATCAACGCTATCATCCTCTTTTAAAACCTTTATTTAATTGAAACCTATATCAACTATTCCATTATTTTATGCTGAGTAATGTCACTCTGACAATTCTGAAATTATTCAGGTAATTGTATTTGTGTTCTAAATCAACTGGCATATTAAATTTCTCCTGGTCTTTGAGAAGTGCCCCAGCATTCCAAGTGTTGTTTAAAAAAGCCAAACATTATTTGATAGTCCAGCGATCTCTCCTAGCTTCTCTCCCACTGGACCCCTGCCAATTCTTGGCGACAAATATCTTTACTTTTCTAAGCTTTACACTCCAGTAGTTGCAGTTTATCATCAGTATTAGTCAACACTGCAAAAAATGTATGTAACCATCTTCCTGCAAAATGTACACAGCCCCTGTTCTCACCATACACACGCACTGGTTTCTGTAAGTGCAGGTTTTGTCATGTCAACTTCATAATGGATTAATAGCTCTGTAGGCTTTTTGCTTCTCGTTCATAAAGAAAAAATCCCAACACACACACACACATACATTTACTTCGTTTGCCTCCAAGTTCTCTGGGAACAGACTCCCCCCATAATTAGCTGGATTTTTATTGGTTTTACTTAAAAAACATCTGGCTTTTTTCAGCCCATATGGTTTTATTTTTCAGACTAGTTACCTTCACTTGTCCTTCAAGTAAACAAGTACCCTCTCTATATCTGGCTAAAATGTCTTTAAACAACTTCTTGGTACCATTCATAGTCTTCTGATTAAACTCTCTCAATCTAGCCTGCTTAGTTGTGTTTAATTTTAAGTCAATCCTTTCAAATCACACAATTAGTGTGTCGCTAGTTCAGACATAAATGTTTCTACAACATACACTGATAATACTGTTCACGGAGAAAAACAGTATCAACTTGCAGTAAATTTTTCTGTACCTTTCCTCCATTAAAATAAGCATAAACATAGTATCATACCTATAGGCTTTACTAGCTTTTACTGGGGTTGCTTCAAATCCAATTGGGCAAAAATAATGGTTTTGGCAATGGTAGATGTAGGCCATTGATTCGTCTTTCAGTCCACGTGTTAGCTTCGCAAGGGCCCCTGCAGCTACAAAGACAGACCAGGTTACAATCCAGAGTGCTTTGGATCCTGTATAACATATTCAGCAAAAAAGACCTATTTAGTAACATAAAACAGTCATGCTGGTTTTTAAATTAGAGGACATGACCTGACAGGCATGCACAAAATACAGTTTTGATTTCAAACTTCTTAGTATTTCATTTCCTGCCTGCTACAGAGAAATAACATCTGCCACAGAGTCTGTACGAGGGAAACGCAATACAAAGTACGCACTGAATTTAGATCAAAGTCATAATAAAAATTACTTGTTCTGCAAAAAAAAAAAAAAAACCAAGAACGAAAAATATCTCTTAATCTACGAAATACACACTGCAACACAATGTAGTCCCACTGCCCCAAGTCAGATGCAGCAAACATCAACACTACTACCGAAACCCCTGAAATCTTTCAAACATTTTGGTATCCTGAGCTTCCAAGTCTCAGGGACACATTCCACACTTGGGCACGCAATATTTTGTAATGTGACTGCAGCGCTCAGTTTCAGGAAAAGACTAGAAAAGGCACTGAAACATGACAGAATTCTCAAATGGAATATCAAGAACAAAAAAAATTATTTCTGCTTTAACAATCTCCCCCAAAACTTTTTAGTGTGGTTTTATCCTTTTAAAGAAGCTTCCAGTTAGAAGATAATTACCCAGACTATATCAAAGACTAATGAACTGTGTATGAAAGTACATTTTTTTCCTTAGTTAGCACACTTAAAAGCAGACATAAAAATGCAGCTTCATAGCTAATTGAAAATAATCACCTAGCTTTTAGAAAGAGATGTTAGCTAAAGTCAGGCGGAACGGATTATTAAAAAAAATTAATTTAAAAAAATTAAAATTGCAATTTTTTAAAAGTATAAAATATTTATTAAAGACATTAATACTTTTGTGCTGTTCTAAATTTTTATACAATGCAGATTTCTAAAACCCTAAAATAAAAATGTGTTGCTCCCTCAGTGTATTACAGCAAACACACCATTCAGGACACCAACACACAACTGGAAGTGCAGTGTCCACCTGGATACCTTAAAATTCCAGTTCTGTGATAGCAGAATATATTTTATCAAAATAAAAGTACTAATGAAAGTTTTAGCAAAATAAGAGAAAAAGTAGAATCAGAAAAAATCAGACAACTTGGAGCTATCTGATAGCTTCTCTCAAACTGGAAGTACTACTTACGGATCATGTCCTGTTAAATGCTACACATTGCAGGATTTTTCAGTTTATATACTGTAAGATGAATGCTTTAGTATTAGCTACGTACCAGTTTCTCCAGCTGTCTTGTTCTTCCCATGAGGCTTATACAGAACATATGAGCATCCCTTGATATGGAAGTGATCATTTATTTGCCTAAACCATCTGAAACAATAAGCTTAAAGATTGTAGTAACTCAAGAGTTATCAAATGCAATTGTCTTTCCTCCTACTTTTCCTCTGCTTGACAGTTTAGGAAAAAAGCCTCGGTGTGCTAAGTACCTACCACACTAGTATCTGGATTGTAGATGACCACAGTACTGTAATGCAAACAAAACTTAACATATCCCAGACAGGTAAATATATACTCAGAGCCTTTTCCTTCATTATGCATTTTCAGACCCAACATAGATCCATAATAACCAAAGGGCTGGATGGTGAAATGTTGGTCCTGTTCTGTTCAGCCCAGTCACCTCAAAGTTTCAGTTACTCAGCCTTTAGAAAGACACTCAAATTGTGAAGTGCCGAGCTTCAATTGTGATTCGTAAGCTACATGAAGGGAATCCTCTAAGACACCAGAAGGCAAGACCTGTCAAGTGAGACTTTCTGCATATCACGTTGGGCTTCTGTCATATGAGTTGCTCAATGCCCAAGCGTTACAGGAGTCCCATACTGCAACTCCTCACAGCAGCAGTAAGTGAGGACAGGTCTGCAAAGAAGATCCTGTCTCAGTTATTCACTTTTCCACACTAGAAGATTCAAATTCACATCTCTAAAGATATAGCTCTGGTATTAAAGATAATACCTCACTTATAAAGCTCTGTTGGGCGGTGGGGTTGGCCCTCAGCCCTCCTGTTTTACAGTCTGCTGAGTACTTAAAAATTATTTGACCAGGCAGAAAAAAAAACCTACTAAGTGTAACTTTTCTGTAGTGCATAGGGCACTCACAGGCGAAACGGAAGAGACAGAACATTTTATCAGCTTGGTCTATAAGGGTTGCTACACCCTGACATACTCTTAGAGGGATATAAAATCTGGATTCGAGTCTCCTAAGGCAGAGAAGAAAGTTTTCATGACACTCTTCAATGATCTAGCCAGTATGCTACCGTTAAAGAACAGACTGCTGCCACATTTTCAAATCCAACAAATCCACATTCTGTGCCAAACCCCATATATTGCCTTCAAAAAATACTAAGTAGTCCAAATGCAACTCATGTAACAGGCAAGAACACTGAAAAAATTTTAAATCTCACAGAAGGGTAACACACCAAAGCCCTCTCAAGATGTGCAGCACTAGAATACAATACGCTCCTGGCCCTGTTTAATCCTAGAATTCCTTATGAGCTTAATAGAACTAAGAAAAAGGACAAAGATTTTAGATCCAACTCATCAAGATTAGGAAACAGGAGAGCAGAAGGGAAACAGAATTTGAAAGTTCAAGTGTTCTGGGACTCCAGTCCCATCTTTTCTTCCCCGCTCCCCCTACCCCCCTCCGTCTAAACAGCTCCATTGCAGTAAAGGTGCAGCACTCACTATCTCATTTTCTATTCTTAAATTATTTTTTACATAAAGCTACTAGTATATCAATTGCCTTTTCAGGCTGTTTCAGTGACATTAACGAGCATTTTAAATGCATTTTCAAAAACAGGAAGATGAAGGTAAGGAAAAGATTTCCTAACAAGGAGACTGGATCCATTAGAGTGTTATACAATCATTAAACAAACTAAACCAAAAATCAAATAGAATTTCATGTTCACCTGATCTGTGTACCAACATTGCAATATACAAAATGGCTAGTGAAAAAAACTCTTTGAGAAGTTTCTTTGGGCACTGTCAAGAGTACCTAAGTATGCTTCATTATTCTAAAACTTAAGAGGACTAACTTGCAGCAGTTACTTTTTTTTTTCCAAAATAAATGAACTACTACTTTATTTTCAAAGGTTCTATCTCTTAGTTTTATGTTATTTTTGCATACATTAACAATTTAGCTGCATCAAAAGAACCAAACTTACCTCATTAAAGTTGTATTTCCAGTGAAAGGACCAAACCTAATTTCCTCAAATGGAGGCTGAAAGCCCAGTATATGCAAAGCTTCTTCTTGAGTAATAGGTGGTAAACTGGGAAAAAAAAAAAAAAAGAAAGAAGAAGAAAGTATTGTTCAATAAACTAATTAGTCAGATATTTTAGACTCTCTAGAGGAAAAGCAGCCTATGTATGACTTACCTTCCAGCTCCCAGAGTACTAAATAAGAAATTCCAGCAAGACACTAAGGATGAAATTCCACAGGAAGTCTTGTACTGAGGTCTGCTAACACAATACCTAAAGCAAACAAAAACCCAAACACATTAGTAAAGCATTCTTGATTTAGTTACAGGAGCCACCTGAACTACTTTTTGTGTGCCACGCCTTTGAAATGCCATGTAGTAAATGTTTTTATGCTGCATTCTTTTAAAAAATGTATAAAAAATGGAGCATATATGTTAACCAACTTCCTTAAAGTTTCTCAGATACTACTACCCTATTTCCCACAAATCAGTCAAATTTCTAACAGTCTTATGGGAGTTCTGCACAAATGACCCTGCAGGAAAAAACAGTTCTCGACTAATATAATGTATTAATATAATGTATAGTTTGATCTCGTCTCTTCTAACACAAGAACTTGCAGTAAACTGCGTCTCTACCGATTTATTAATGAATGTTATTTCAGGTCACAGATTCCCTAGGCTAACTCAAACTTTCTGATGTCACAGACATATAGTTTAATGAATCTGTTTGGTTCTTACTAAGTGAATTTAGTCAACTCCATTTATGTGATACAGGTTGTATAGAACTGATAGCTTCTGATCAAGTATTTCCCAGTGAAAAGAAATATTAGGAGTAAGACATATCAGTACTATGTTTAAGGTTACTCTTTGCCTGACCATGCTAATAAACTGAACTTGCTTTTTTTTAAGCAAAGAATGCCCACATAATTTTTTTTCTTATTGAAAAAAAAAAAAGTCTAGAAAGAAAAATATTTTTAGAATTTCAACAGAGGTGAGAGAAACTCTCAGTCTTCTTGTAGAAAGTATAAGACAGTGTATGTATGCTTAACATATCCCCATTTCTACTAAAAAGGAAAAAAAAGCATGAAGATATTATTAAGAAGTTTGAAATCAGATAAGAAGCAACAGTGTTCACTGACAAACTGTAGGGCGCTAGCCTTAAATACAGTTCCTAGATACTACCATCTCCGGAGGTCCAACACCTTCCTCTCCTTCACGTCTTCAAGAGCAGAATGCTGAGGACACTCCCTGTATTGTTTGCTTTTTTTGTCTACAGATTTTTTCTTTGTCACTTGTTTCTTCATGTTGCCTGCAAAACAGATTTCAGAAGCAAATGAATGCCTAGTTTACCTTTTATATCTTTCTTCTTAAATATTTTTAGTACTAGTATACACCCCAAATAGAGACACTGGTTGTGTTGGTAAGTGCAAACTGGGACTAAACATTAATTAAAGGTGTCCTGGTTTCAGCTGGGACAGAGTTAGTTCTTCTTTTTAGCAGCTAGAAGACCTCTGTGTTTTGGTTTTAGCCTGAGATTCGTTAGGAGAAGAATGTTGATAGCGCATTGATGTTTATAGATGGCACTGATACATCAAGGATCCTTCAGTTTGCTGTGTTCTTGCCAGTGTGCAGGAGTACAACAGGACAGGGGGGAGCATGGCCAGGACAGAGGGTCCACGACTCCCCTTGTGATTTGTACTTAGACTTAGGATTGAGGGCCAAACTGGCCAATGCATTCCATATCATGCAGCGTCATGCCCAGTATAAAAATGAGGGTTGACCGGAAAGAAGAGCCTTTGCTCTTCCGGGCTCTCACTCTCAGTGCTCTCTCTCTCTCCCTCGCTCTTTTTTCGGGCCTCTCGCCCATCCAGGATTGTGGTGTTGGGACTTACCTGTTTCAGGATCCTTTGGCTGGTACAGGACAGGCCTTGGTCACCGAGTGGTGAGCAACTACGCTGTGTATCACTTGTCTGTATATATTATTATACATATACACATTCATATATTGTATAGTAGTAGTAGTGTCAAATTGTTCTTATCTCAACCCACAGGTCTCTCTCCCTTTTCCTTGTCCCCTGGGGGTGGGGAAGGGTGAGCAAGCCGCTGTGTGGCGTTTAGTTGCTGGCCTAGACCACGACAGAAGGAAAAAGCTCAAATGCATAATAAAGATTGTCAACAGGTTTGTACAGCTACCATTAGCTCTGTAAACAGCATCGGGTTTTTCTGAATAGAATGAACGATGACCTGCCTGACTGTTCAGAGAGAGCAGTCAATCTGCTTATCCTAATGCACTAAATCAGGCATCCCAGAAATAGACTCTCAGATCAACATGGACTTCCCATCTCCTAACGTTAATTGCACAGGAAAATATAATGAAACACTTGTTTTTCATGGCCAAGCTCTGTAACCAGATACACTTTCTGATTAAAACTTATATGCAAATCCAGTAAGAATAATATACCCCCAAGGTCTTTTCCCTTTTGTAAGCCACTGAGGCAGTGGCTAACGTAGAGCTGGGCCACATGCTGGAACAGGAGTGTTTCTGTCCCATTTTGAAGCCATCATATCCAAATGAAACATATCACAAATATTTTAGCAAAAATTACCATCCTGTAAGATATTATCATTTGTTTCTTATTTTTACTTAAGCACACAACACGTACACATGAAAAGGCAATGGCAATTTGCCAAACGTGTTTTTAAGTTTTGCTAAACTAGTTTCATAGTAAAGTAGAGAAAACAGCAATTTGACTAGCTAGCCAAGCTATTACAAAAAAAAAAAAAAATCTACAGCCTGCTCTACATAAGCAGAGGGATTACAGGACAAAGAAAACCAAGCGCGAATGCAAGCCCCGGATTCACAGTTGCAATCTGTGACTAGTCAGAGAAAGAACATAGGAGAGAGCAAAGAAGCCACTTTTAAAGAAATGAGGTTCCTAACACTGTGTACACATAACAAGTCAAAATAAATACAAATCTGTTACAGAAACCAACTGCTTTCCTAAGTAACTGGAATAACGATTTCATTTACTTCTTGTCATAAAGAAACCATGTCTTTAGTTTTGTAATACATCTCTGAAGTACCTTGAAACATTTATTCAAGTGACAAACCTGTACTTTACAGGTAAACATGCACAATGCACTAGGTCCTACTAAAAGAAAAAAGGAAGAAAGAAAAACACACCCCAAAAACCCAAGGGAAAAAAACTCAATCAAATCCAAACCAGAAGCCACCCTGAACAATACCAAAAAAACCCAGATAGTTAAGCAGAAGCCAGCCTTGCTTTAGAGCCACTTCCCGGGCAGCTACACCTGACTTTCACTCCTCCTACCTCACTCTCTCCCTTCCCCATGAGCAGGTTGTTTGAAATGACGTACAGGCTCTTCTATAGCATTTCCTCAAGAAATACATGTGCCCACCAGCCCCCTCCACAAACAAGTTATAAACATGAAGCGTTTTCCTATCCCAACATCAAATCTTCACCACCTCACCTGCTTTGCTCCTCAGATTTGTGCTCACCCCATTGAATTCGGATTTGTCGATTTCCCATGCCAGTGGAAGCTTTCCAAGATCGCCAGGCAAGCTTTCCAAGTTAGCATCCTCACCATAGATTATCTCCGAAGCACCAGTTTGAATGCTGAGTAAGCTAGGTGTGTTATTTCCAGCATTTAAGGCAGCACTGCCTGACAGACAGGCACTAACTGGAGCACTTGAGCTTTTACAAATAGATGTTACTCTGTTTAAAAAAGCATAGTCTGAGCAGATGGTATAAAATTTCTCTCGTGTATGAGTCACAGGACATCCCCATGGATAATGCCCATCTCCCCTAGACACCAGGGACGCAGTGGAGGCGTCTGACATGCAGTATTGCTTCACCGGATCATGAAGACAAACTTCTGGGGATTCCTTCCCAGGTTTGTTTCCAGTGTTTCCATTATTTCCAGAACCATTCTCCTTTTCATCTTCTGAAATGTTAGGCATTGAATGATACTGAAAGAGTATGGTACAGCTAAAAATATGTTTTTCTTTATGTTTTAATTACAACAGAGTTTGCATCATTGCCTCCATTGCCTCTGCAAGATATCGACCAGGTACCTGAAAGAAAATGACAAGTTAGTACAGGTGTCTCAACCAACATAAAATATACACAAAGCTTATCTTTGAAGTCATATCCAATAAAAGCTGAAATACACTTCAAAGTACACCACAACATACACCATGTCTTCTCCTAAGCAACTACAAAGAGCACTTTTTATTATTTGTGAGGTGCCAACAGCATACACCACAGTCATACCATGGTGAAGATACCATGAGTAATTACTCCTGTAACCGAGTACAGGAGTTAAAAAAAAAAAAAGCCTTCCTACATTTACACAGTTGTGGTTGACCACTTCTATTTCTTTATAGTCACAACACCTTGCGTATGTGGAGCACAAAATACTTTATGCAAACCAGTAAATCAGAGAGACAGCAACTTAAGGTCACTTAGTTCTGTAGAATCCTGCATACTTTTGCTACAAGTTCAAGTTTACAGAAAATTACAGTAACTATTACCCCTGTTGAATGTAAACTGACACCACCACCCTCAATCTGTTCCACTGCTTTCCTCGTACGGCTGTTAAGGGTTCCCTTTTATTTTTACACGCCTCCTATGTTTCAAGATGTGAGAAAGAAAAGCGTCAGATTTTGTTTACAGCAGCTAAGAATCACCAAAAACAAAATTAGAAGGCTGGCTTGGTTTTAATGATCTTTTTCGGCAAAGCAAATCGACAGCATGCGTTATCTACCATCTCAGCAGCCAGCACGTCTGCGGTGCGAAGACACATCCCGCAGATGGGAAAGCTGGCACGCAGGAGGCCGGAGCTTCTCTGGGAAACAGGCTCCTGCGACACCGACTTCTGGTCACCGAACTGAACTGAACCAAGAGCGCAGGAGCCTTCGTCTGCCAGAAGCGTGCCTAGCACTCAAACGCGCGCAGGGCTCCGCTCGGAAGATTGCAAGGAATCATCAAAACACACGCACGTTCGCCGCG